TTCTGGAGGTTCCCCCCCCCCCAATGTTTCACCAGTCTCTGTGGGCAGCATCTTCAGAGGACAGGAGTCAGAACTCTGTCTGTGTTCTGGTGCAGTTTTGTGGGATAGTTGAGTATTTATAGCTGTGGGATCAGCTTTTCATCCTTTTAAGGGGATTGGGTGATTATGGTGATCAGTGTGTTTTTTTGTTGTAGGTGTATTGTTGTGATAAGGGGGGTAAAGAGGATCTGTCACTGTGATTGATGGGTGTTGTTAGCTGGTCTTTTGTGTGCAGTGATCACCTGTCCTTGTGGCTGGGTAGAGTATGGCCTGTGTCATGTGAACACAAGCTGGTTGGAGATCTTATTGGTTTAGGTCTCTAGCTGCAGAGCCAGAGGTTGAGAGTTTGATTCCCCCACTGTGTTTCCTTAGAGAAAAGCCAGCCTGTGTCACCTTGGGCAAGCTGCACAGTCCCAGGGTTCCCCAGAAGAAGGGAATGGTGGACCACTTCCATGTATTCTCTACCTGGAAAACCCTGAAAAGGGTCGACATAAGTCAGAACTGACTTGATGACACATGATGGTGATGATGATTGTAAATGTTAGAACTTTGGGAAGTGAATTGCTATATGTTAGCAAGTCTACTTGGACTGAAGGCCTGGAATCCTATTGCTGCTCAACTGTGATGATGCCTGTTACATACAGCACTGATGTTACCTGTCTGTCATGGGTTTGGAGGGAAAGTTCCATCCTATGGGGAGTGGAAGGCGGGACATCAGGAGGAGGGGCTGTACTGTATATAAATGTGATGCCTGTGTGGTGAGAGGGAGATGCTGAGAGACACTGGGATGTGACGAAGCAGCAGCTGGGAAGAAGAAGCTGTTGTGGGAGTCTGTGTGTCAGACAGGGTACTTCTGTGTGTCAGAGTACCAACCTGATAGGTTCAGGTGTCTGTTGGTTAGCCAGAACTGATAGGTTCAGGGTCTGTGCTTCAAGTTAAGGGTTCTGGGTGAACCAAACTGTATGCTTGTATGAGTGAGAATAAGCCACGTTACTTTATCCTATTCACCTGATTGTTTTATTTTCCCCTGTGTGTATTTAAATAAACCTTATCCTTTTCATTGTTTAAAAATCCATCCCTGGTCTGTGTGACTTCTTAAAGGGAATGGTTGGTGGCAGCTTAGTGTAACTGTGTGACATATCCCAGTAGGTCTGGGTTTGTCACAGTGCCATCCTGCCTGCAGTGACCTGGGGGCATTAAAGAGATCCCTCCCCAGTTCTGTGGCCCCCAAAGGCTCCCCCAGGATGATGGAGACCTTTGGGGATTACTTGAACGTTGGTGGAGGGTTTCAAGGGAAGGGGAAGCTTCTGATTCTTGACAGGTGGGCTGTGGCTGGTGACATCATCACGGCTGGACCGTGTAAAGTTGCCCTATATGACTCTGGTTAATTTCTTCCACACGAGATTGCACAACTTGGTGCATGACAAATAATGTCTAGGATGACTTAGTAGCACGCAGCAATTCACCTTGAAAGTTACACCACTTGCATTACGCTTGCAGGTGTATGGAATTAGGATTTGAGCCCTTGGCTTCTTCTCCGTCCTACTCTTTTTTTACCCATTTATTTTAGCTAGAATGATCAACTGCAACAAGCTGGTTTTTTGTTTTGTTTTGGTCACGCCAATGTGCTAACGTATCCCTGTTGCTCCATGGAGGAGCTTTGGAGGTTGTGCCGTTGCCTGCCTAGTTGGGTATGGTGGCCCAGATGTGCATTAGGTTGCAGTGGCTAAGAAAGGGGAGATTGGTGCAGTTATTTGCTGGAGTACGTTGGGTGTCACTGACTCTGCATGGAGTTGAACACCAGTGCGCAGGGCGTGTGCCGGCACAGGGACATTACTGGACAGAGGGCTAGCCAACTCCTTAGGGCACTGTTGTTTGCGAACTGGAGTGCAATGCCTCCATTTCAAAAACCGGTGAAACATTAGTGGGCTGGGTTGATCCATATCGACGAATGGCAGGTTTTAAAAATCTCATAGAATTTATTCTTTTAATGTTACATTTTATACCTCTGTTATATTGTCTTTACAAAGTCTTATGCAATAATGCTGTATTCTGCTATGCCATACGAAATAAATACAGAAAAGGGGGAAACTTTTTGTAAAGCTAATGGCTTTCCTTCCTTTCCTTACCCCTTATAGGTCCACTTTGACCAGTTTAGAGACGCGCTTATCCTCATCCTGTCCAGTACGCTCACCAATGAAGACTCCTTCCAGCAACCAGGTAAGCCGGAGTGTGGATTTGGGGGAGGGGGGGAACCAGGAGGTGGGAAGACCTCCTTGACTGGGTTCAGATCTATTTCTAAGACTGTTCTAAATGTCAGGGGTGTACCAGAAATACAGCACATCGTTGTCACCCTCTTGGTTTTCCATACTAAACATCTCTTCAAAATGGCGGCCGATGGCGACCTCATTGCAGAAATGTATTGGCAAAGGTCAGTCCTGTGGATTGTGGAATTGTTGGTAGGTAAGATCAGTTTGCTAGTTGAAATCTGCTTGTTCTGATAATAATAATACTAATCATGTCATTTCTGACTTGTGGCAGCCCTTCCCAGTGTTTTCTAGGTAGAGAGTACTCAGAAGTGGTTGACCCTTACCTTCTTCTGGAAGCAACTTGGGGTTGGGCAGCTGGCCCAAGGCCACCCAGGCTGGCTCTTCTCCCAGGAGGCCCTGTGGTTTATCTGAATTTATTATTTTATATCCTCTCGTTCTGCTCCCCATAAGCCCAGCTGTGACACTGAGTACCCAGTGGTGACTGGGACAACAATGGGAACATGTGGCCCTCCAGATATTGCTAAGCCACATGTTCTAGATAATTCCTCACCACTCACTATGCTGGCTCCTAGAGGTGGACGCGAACCAGAAGAACAAAAAATCGGGCTGGTTCATTGTTTGTGGCTAACCACGAACCACCAGAAAAATGAACTGGTTTGGGGTTCATTCTTACCGGTTTATGCTGGGCAGGGCGAGGAACCTACCTGTTCCTGCTCTCTGCCACCTGGCCAACCCTGTCCCACTACAACCTCCTTCCCTGGTCCTTGCATAGAAGCTGCATCGCCCGCTGCTCCTGAAGATGTGTGACAGGCGGGCGGGCATATCTGCAGAGGCAGCAGGCAAGATCCCCAAAGCCACGTCCAACGAACCGAACCACGAACCAGCCCGGTGGGTGGGTTTTTTCTGGTTCATCGTGGGAATCCCGCTTGTCTCTACCAGCCACCACTGGCTAGTGCTGGTGGGGACTGCGGCCCGGCCATGATCCGGAAGGCCCCTGCGTCTCCCACCTGCGGTTCAGGGTGGGGACGGAGGGGGTTTGTAAGCTGGATCGAGATGGTGGCGGCAAATAAGTGGCAGCCGTGGCTCAGCATGATGTCATCATGGGCAACCAAGGATGGTCCCTGGCAAGCCAACAAAGTTTGGGGACACTGGTGGGTTTGTGAAAACCACGATCAAGCCACAGTTGCTGCTTGTCTGCCCCCTGAGAGAATCATGGCTGCTGGTGACCATAGACAGAAAATGGACACACAGGGAAAGATTTTCTCAGGGCCATGCCTAAGTCTGGTTTGTTAGGAAGCCAGAACTGTGGTTTCCTAAACCATGATTTGCTTAAACAGTGATGAGCTGGATTCAGGCAGGAAATAGGAACTTTGATCCAGAAGTGCTGGCAAGCTTCCTACAGCCCTGTAGGCTAGACCCTGCTTTTCAAGGGATGATGATCTTATTCTCTAGCACCCTGCTAGCCGTGGTCAGTCTTTATGAATGCAAAATTGGCCCCAAGCCTTAAGCTGTCTTTGGGTCCCTAAAAATGTGTCGCTTTCGATGGAGTTGGAGGAGAGAGAGAGAGTCTGAAATGCATACTTCCACAGAGGACATCTTGTTTTACCCCAAACAACTTGTTTTTCACAGAACAACTTGTTTTTTTGCAAAACATCTGAAGGTCGAAAGAAGCATTGGCTTGTCAAGTGGCCTGAATGAATGAATGCAGGACAGCCAGAATTGGCTACCTGACAGTAGGAGAATAGGACAGAAAGGAAGAAGATGGGATCAGACATTCTGGGGGTGAAAAAGGAATTAAGGCAGTGTTCCTAGTGCATATTTATTCCTGCATATTACTCCCAGATACAGGCACGCAGGATGATTTCTTTAAAAAAAAGGTGATTTGACTAAAACACAATTAATTATCATGTTAAAGCTAAGTAAAATGCATTGCCGTGTTAGAATAACCACTGAATTAAGCCATTTAAAAAACATTTTAAAGTACATCATAGAAAAAGCGGAGGTGGGAAAAAATCCTTCCTCTCTCATGAAAATCATGTTCCTAAATAGGCTGCTCGGTTACTGAAAGCCTGCTGGAAGATAAATGTCAGCAGAAGAACGGTAGCAAGTTGAGTCATCCGTTATCCCTTGGCAGGGAGTTCCACAGTCCTGGAGCGGCCACCAGAAAGGCCCCCTCTGGTGCCCTCACGGGGTGTACCTATGAACGTGGTGGGGCCCAGAGAAGAGCCACCCCACGCTGAGCTCTTAAAAATCCAGAAAGACCCACATGGGGAGATGGAGCCCTTTCAGATACTTCCCTGGCAGGAAGGTCCTCTCAAAGCCTGTGAGGCTTACTTGCGAGTAGACCTGTATAGGGTTCTCCTGTCCAGCCGTGGACGCACCTTGATGTTCTTCTGGGCAACGAATGAAAGAGCCACATTGAGATTACCTCTATTCAGAGGCCTTTAAGGAGGAGACGGCCTGGCAACAATTCTGGATGGCACAACGTGTTCGATTTTCGTGAATGTGATCGTTTGTCATGTTTCCTCCTTTTTGAAATAACAAGGGATAGTTGTAAATTCTCTCCGTTCTTTGGGTTAAACTTTAATAAATATTTCAATTAATTGTATCTGGTGTGAAGACCCAGTTTCCTTGGTGCGTTGGCTGGGCAAAGTGGCTTAACCAGGACTTGGCTGTTTGTCCCTATTTCTCTAATCACTCTTCATTCCGGCTCCTTTCTCCTTCTGCCTCCTTTTCTCCGTAGCATCTAGCACCGGCTGCACTCTGAAGCACTACCCTGCCAGAAAAGGCACAGCTTCAGCTAAGCCCTGTAGACAAAATATGACAGTTTTATCGGTGGCTGAAGACTAATTAATTAATCAAGCAACCACACGTCTTTCTGATCACCTTGCCTGTAAAAGGGGGAAAAAAGGACCTCGTTTTCCTTGGCCTTTTCAGGCGCTTGTCTTACTTGTGAAGAAGTGGCCGGTTTTAAAATCGGGCATAAAGACAAAGGTCTGAAGTTGTTGGGTGCTTTAGGAAGCCAACGGCTTGCTTTAAAGATCCAGCCATCCGATTCATCCGGACAGCAGCATGTAATGAAAGGGATTAGGTGCCGAAGTCCTTCTTCAGCCCAGTCTCCCGGGCTACAGGTATGAACATGGCTCGACCTGCAGAGAACATCCTTTAAAACGGACTGGGTTAGTCACGCAAAACAAATGTTTTCACCGCAAAGTCAATAATGAAGGAGGCGTTTGCAAACAAGAACTAGCGGAGCACAAAATGCAGAGTTATCTGTTCCTTTCTCTTCCTTCCTCTCTGCACAGCCAAGAGGTTCTCAATTTTAAAGCCAAGAGAGAAAGAAAAGGTAAAATATTTGCAGCATGAATGAAGGGGAAAGCAGAGATGAGATGAGCAGGTCACCCTGGTGACCAGAGAGGGGACGATTCACCAGAAACCTCTTTGTGGGCGATCCGTACACCCAAATTGCAAGTGTCCAGTTTTCTGGAAAGGTCGGCATCCCCTCCCAAAGTATCAGAGAGTGCTAGTATGTTCCCCCCCTCCTGCTATTACTGAGAGGTCCAGGTGGGCTTTGAGTTATAGCACAGTTACAGGTGGCTCACTGGTTCCCACTTTTGAAGCCTGGCCTGTTCTTGGACTATGACCTCCGGAAGCCCTCCTAATGGCCATGGCACTGGAGATCCGGGACCCCATGTCGGGGAAACACTGCACCAGCTACAGCTGTGGCCTCAGCTGTGGCCCCACCCTGGAAGCCACCGTGAGCTGATGTTCCTCGTGGCTGGCAGGATTGAAGACGGAGCTGCCGTGGGCAGCTGCCGTGGATGGCTGTCTGATCCCCCATGCCACTGATTCATTCTTCTCCTCCCCTTCTTCCCTATCACGGTCACAAGGACCATTGGAGAGCATCACAGGAAAGGTCTCGGGGTCCATCTCTCTCTTTTTTCGGCTTCTCTTAGTGCCAGGCTTTTTTATGTTGTTGTTGTTTAGTCATTAAGCTTTTTGGCTTCTCTTAGTGCCAGGCCTTTTTATGCTCTTGTTGTTGTTTAGTCGTTAAGTTGTATCCAACTCTTTGTGACCCCATGGACCAGAGCACGCCAGGCCCTCCCGTCTTCCACTGCCTCCCGGAGTTGGGTCAGATTCATGTTGGTCACTTCAATGACCCTCTCCAACCATCTCGTCCTCTGTTGTCCCCCTTCTCCTCTTGCCTAAACACTTTCCCAACATCAGGGAGTCTTCTCTTCTCATGAAATGGCCAAAGTATTGGAACCTCCACTTCAGGATCTGTCCTTCCAGTGAGCAGTCAGGTTTGACTTCCTTCGAAATGGATAGATTTGATCTCGTTGCAGTCCAGGGGACTCTCAAGAGCCTCCTCCAGCACCACAATTCAAAAGCATCCATTCTTCGGCGGTCAGCCTTCTTTGTGGTCCAGCTCTCACTTCCATACATCGCTACTGGAAAAACCATAGCTTTGACTATTCGGACTTTTGTTGGCAAGGTGATGTCTCTGCTTTTTAAGATGCTGTCGAGGTTTGTCATCGCTTTCCTCCCAAGAAGCAGGTGTCTTTTAATTTCGTGGCTGCTGTCACCATCTGCAGTGATCATGGAGTAAAATCTTTCATCTTTTATGCCCTTACTCCTTTTATTTGGCATATGATTCTGCTACAGACCTATATAGTGCATGGCTTCATTTGTCTTTGTTTATTTTTTCCTGTGGCTACTTCTTACCTTGGATGTCATAATCGTGAAGGATGACAGAGGGTTTGTTAAGAAAAACTAAATGAAAAGCCGAATGAATGGGTGCAGAACATCTTAGGTCCCTGGCAAAAGCTGACGATGAAAACTAAGGACACTTTGTGTCTCTGTTGTTGGTCCACCCCATCCTGTTTCTTTGGGCCTGAATACTCCAAGCCATCATTTCAAATGATATTAATCCACTTTCTCTTCCAGTCT